GGTTGTCTGGGCTGCCCAGGACGTCTCGGCCCTGCCTGGCCGGAGACTCTCCAGCTGCTGCAGCGCCCGAGGGCTTGGGACGGAAGAGGCACAACTCCGGGCTTTAAAGAGGTCTGGGAGGCTCCCTGCTCTCCCAAGAGGACAGAGCGGGCCCACTTCTACCTGGCGGGGCCAAGAACCGGGCACCGGGAGGAACCTGAACCTGTTTCTACTGGCACGAAATGGACGAAGGACTGACTCCGGTTCCAGCAAAAGAGCAGACTGCGCTGGAAGGATGCCCCTCCCCGCCAGGCGCTGGAGGAACTGGGGCTCCGGGTGGGACCTTGGATTCTCCCCAGTCTGCACGTAGCAGAGCTCACAGTGGGAACTGGCCTGGCGCCAGGAGCAGGGTGTGGACTGGGTGGGATCAGCTGTCCCTAGAGGGCAGGGCGCAGGGTAGAGGGGTCACTAGGAGGAGTGTCTCCCAGAGGGCAGAGCTGGGGCTGCTGGCCTGGTGTTCCCACACAGGCTGAACCCCCCCAGCTGGGACAGCTGCAGGAGGCAATCTCGGGGTGCCCCCAGGCTGACCCTGCTGCATGAGAGCTGAGGGCGCAGTGTCACCCGCCTGTCTGCCTTCTAGGCAAAGCTGCAGCGCCCACACTTGCAATTCATCCCAAGGCCCGGGACAGCTGGTGTTCCCCACAGCCGCTGCAGCCCAGCGCCTGTTTGTCACACTCGGCCCTTGTGGGTGTGAACTTTGGCCCAGCCACAGGGTGTCACCTGTCAGAGCTGCCCAGGGACTGAGGACCAGGGCTGTAGCAGCGCTGCCAGACTGGGCCAAGGCAGCCGGCTCCTCTGGGAATGGGCTAGAAGATGCTGAATTGTAAAACATTTGCCTGTTTACCAGAAATAAACACAATCAAGCTGGCAGCGTCCTTGTGATGGCCCGGGAACCCTGAGTGCACACGGAGCAGGCCGCCCGCGGGGGCCAGGCCCGAGCAGACTCAGAAATGCTGAGATTTTAAGACCCAGCGGTACCCTGGGGCTCTGTTTGCCTGCTGGGTTTGAGCCTCGGCTTGCATGTCCCAGCCTTCCTTCCTCGTGGCTGACCGAGCACCCGCACGTGCACAACGCAAAGCCTCTGCCCCTCCCCTTGCGTCCCAGGGCGTATGGGTTAGAGTTACCGTGTTCAGCTGGAAATGCAGTTTCAAAGGCAGAGCTCCTTTAAATCGCTGTGCTTAACACCAAACGGTTACAGCTGCCAGTTACTGGCCAGTCCCCGCACCCCCCGGCCCAGTGTACTAACACATGGCTAAGCTCCAACACAGCATCAGGTGTTTACGGGACCTCGGCACCTTGTGGGGCTCGTCCCTTTTGAAAAGGAACCCCGTACGCCAGGCGGATTGCTGCATCTGCGGCCGGGGGGGGAAGCCAAGCCACCGAATGCTGCCAGCCCCCGAGATTCTTACGGCTCTTGCACATCGAGTTGGTTTCTGGACAACGGGACTCGTGTTATCGCCCGCGCAAACGTGTTTCGAGCCCTTGCGAGGGCACAGCAAAGCTGGGCAGCCAGGGAAGGGTCCAGTGCTGACTCAGACCCTCTCGGCTTTTCACCCCGACCGATGATTGTGGGGGCCTGGGCCGTGCAGAGCGGGCACTGTGCCCAGCAGGGGCTGACAGGCGTGGCTGTTCTCTTGGCCTTTCCTGGCCCCTCCGCAATGTTTGGGCAAGTTACCCCCTGCTCCCTTGCTGCACAGCACATGGGGGGAGAGGGGCTGCTTAGGAGCATGAGGGGTCTCCCAGTTTGCTGGGCTAGTGCCTGGCCTAGAACAACAGAACCCCACTTCTGAGCGGGGCCTGGTACAAACAGGCGCGGGGGAGCGTGGCTGTTCTCTTGGCCTTTCCTGGCCCCTCCGCAATGTTTGGGCAAGTTACCCCCTGCTCCCTTGCTGCACAGCACATGGGGGGAGAGGGGCTGCTTAGGAGCATGAGGGGTCTCCCAGTTTGCTGGGCTAGTGCCTGGCCTAGAACAACAGAACCCCACTTCTGAGCGGGGCCTGGTACAAACAGGCGCGGGGGAGGTCCTTGGAATGGCTTCAATGTCATGGTGTGGCTGGGCTGGAGTTAGACACGCTCAGCCTGGTCCGAGTCCCAGTTCTGGGTTCTAACCACTAGGCAATGCTGCCTCCCTAAATAGCAACCTGTTTTACAACACCCCCTCCCCCAGCACTGGGAGAGCAGGTGGGGTGCTGGGGTCACTGAGGATCCTGGTGCGGCTTTCACCCCACAGACTAATGGGGGCACAGACAGATGTCGCCATTCCTCTGGTTTCAGATTCTCCCTGGTTTCGGTACCACGCTTGGGGGCTGGCGTCAGAGCTCCGTGCCAAGCCTGGAGCAAGTGGAGCTGTGCCAGAGTCTGCAGAGAGCCTGATCCAGTAGCTGCAGGGGGCACAAATGGTGTTTCCATGGGGGTGGACTCCAAGGGTGCTGTGAGCAAGGAGGCAGCTCAGAGACGTGCACGACCCGCCCAGCACAGCACTGGCTTC